TAGGCTGGACGGGCTGAGTTGTGGGTTGAAATCGCCAGAGGAACCAAGCTGATCGCGTCGTCCTGTCTGCGACGTTAAAGAATTCTTGCGAAGTTGGGGGATCTTCTAAAATACCTCCTGATCAGCTTTTGGCTCTGTAGTGACAGCCTTAGAGTAGTCTTGGGTTAGTTGCCTGTGGCCCTTAGGGAGTCAGTCAGTAGGTCAGTGTGTCCGGGTAGGTCTACGTGGTGAGGAGTGGGACCCCTGTCGTGCACCAACACCACAATGGATGACTATCCGATGTATGGGCTACTTGCGGGGTTCTCCCTCTGGGGGACCCTCTGGCGTCTCCTCTTTCATCTGGGCTTTTGGCCCACTCTCACGTGTAGAGTAGGGCCCACTCGCGGTGGGACTTCCACCACCCCTTACACGAAGGAGGAGGAGGAGAAGATGGCCGCCATTTTGCAGGAGAAGAAGGAGAAGAAGGAGGCCAAGAAAAAGGCCTTGAGGGAGGAGCAGGCGGCCAAATTAAAGAAGATGGAAGAAGAGATGGCCAGGGAGAAAGAGAAGTTGAAAAAGGAAGAAGAAGAGAAGCTGAAGGAGGTGGATGAAGAAGAGGAAGGACCGCCACTGCAAAGGAGTAGTGGGCAGCCCAGTAGTAATACTGGTGGAGACTTAGAGAAGAAGATATCTGAATGGGTTGCCAACCTGGCTGTGGGAGAAGAGGAAGAGGTTAGTATGTACATCCCGCAGGATCAGCAAGAAGCCGCCATGAAGGCTTGGGAGGCAGAGAAAGACCCTCTGAAACGTCAAGCGTTGGAAGACGAGAAGAGTATGGAATGAAAATTAGCGGTGATGCGGGAGAAGAAGAGGAGAATTGATAAGGCAGCGGAGGCGGCAGAGGCCTTAGAGGAAGTGAAGAATATAGAGGCGCAATTAGCCGCCCAGCCCGATCTCCCAAATCAAATGCGAGTCATAGCTCGAAGCGTTGTATGCCTAGCACGGGTTCAGGCAGACCAATATGACTTTAGCAGAAGCCAGGACATAGCGGTGCGCTCGATACGGTTGGGCTTTCGAGACTTTGCTCGTGAGCTGGTAGGCGGCGTTGGAGTTGAGGTGGGTAATCGCCTCGACAAGACTGAGCGGTTCTGCGCCAGCGCCATTGAAGGCGTTAAGGCGGCAGCTCCCAAGGAGGAGGAAGCACGTCTTCCTCGCCGGGAGTCTGTCCAGATCAAGTTCCCCGATTCCTACAGCGGGAAGAGGGAGGAAAACTTTGACAATTGGGAGGCCAACGTTAAGACCTATGTGCACTTGCAAGAGGTCTCCCTAGATCAGCAAGTCTTAATTGCTATCCACGCATTGAGAGATGAGGCCGCTAGTTTTGCAAGGTCCCTAGTTCGCGCTGCCAACTGTAGTGATGATCCCGTTGCGTACTCCTCATTTACGTCCCTCACCGAATTTMTGAAGTTGCTGCGCGAGCGATTTGCTGATGTCGCTCGCGGTGTCAAGGCCTCAGACAAGCTSCAAASCATCCATTSTCGTAAATGGAAGAGTGCCAGGGCACTCAAGGGTACAATGGATGAGTTGGTGGCCGTCCCTAACCATGGGGTCACAGAGGGCCAGTTGGTCAACCTCTTTTACCGGGCTATGCCCGAAGCCTTTCGAGGGCAGTTCTTCACAAAAAGCGAAGACCCTGCCACCACTTACGATTCTCTTAGTCGCGAGGTGGTAACTTTTGAAGCAAAGTCAGTGTCTCTGTCTACCTTCTGGCACAAAGACTTGGACAGGGGTAAGCAATAGAAAGGCCGCACTATCTCAGGGCAGGTAAAGACCAAGGATAGCCTTGTGCTGACTTTAGATGAGGGTAGTGTAGATGAGATTCCCTACGACCAGATTGAGTGGGGATTAGAGGAGGCGGACAGCGGTGTGGGTCAGGGGAGATCCTACGCTGCTGTCGCGGCCGGAGGGAGGCCGCAAGGAGGACCTGGCCAGGGCCAAGGGGGCCGGGCCTTAGGGAGCCGGTTCCAGGGCGATCAGGGGGTTGGCGGTAGAGGAGGAAACCGCCAAGCGGGAGGCAGGGGTCAAGGTCCCCCGCAAAACCGTCCTTG